GAGAGGCTCGAGAAGCTTCGTGCTCTCGAGGCCGAGGCCAAGGGTGCCTCCAAGGGACTCTGGTCAGGCGTCAACGGCACCATTGAGTAACTGTTTAAATAAAAGTTATTAATATATAATAAACTGGGTTTTATATATTAATATAGGTTAACTGTTTTTAAAGAATAAACTTTTAAGTTTTAGGTTTATATTAATAAAGTAGTTAAATTAATTATAGGTATTATTTTATTAATGTTATATAGTTAGTAAATATAGTAGTTAAATTTAATTTAATTACTATATTAATAATTAGCTATATTAACTATTTAAATAAGTGTAAGAATATAAATTTATATATTTAGTTAAATATTTTAGAATTAATAAAGATTAATATTAATTTATATTAATTCTATTATATATTAATAAAATTAACATTAATTTTTATTAACTTAATATTAATTAGTGTATTAACCCTACGATTACCTAGGAGCGCTTACCTTATAGACCCATTGTTGTAACTATAAGAGCCAGGTCGTGATATTAGTTAAAGTACTTTTATAAATAATAAATAACTTAAGTTAGTAAATATTTTAAAAGTAAATAACTAAACTAAGTTAGTATTATTTAAGAATATAAACATTTATATAAAATATTAATAATAAATTAATAATAAGTTATATACATTTATATTATTATATATTACTTTTTTTTTAATTTTATTATTTATTATTATATAAAATACTAAATTCTCTTAGGTATAAAGGATAAACTGCCTAAAAGAACTAAAATTGAAATAATTATTATTGAATTTTTAATTATTAACTATTGACTAGTAGCCCAGTGGATTTATATTTTTTTCTTTTATAAATAATTTAGGTTGCCCTTTTTTACTTTATTTATTTTTAAGGCTTTAATATACTTTTTCTGCTATATTAATTATATTTTTATTATAAGTTTTCGTTGCAGCAGTTATTATTTTTGCTGTAGTTGTAGATAGTTTTTTATTGCTTTTGGCTATTTTGGCTGTTTATGCATTAAATTTTTGGTTAGCCTTTGAGTTGTCTTTTACTGTAAGAATTCCTTACTTTTATATTACGTTATTTCGTTAAGTTTTTTAAAATGCGTAATTTATTTTTAAGGATTGTTGCTGCTTTTTATTACTTAATGAATAATTAGCTTTTCTGCTTTAGTTGAGTTATTAAACTATAATTTAAAGTTTTTGCGTTGCGTTTGAACTTTGTTGTTTGGACTTTTTTATGTATTTTAAGTTTAGTTTTAAACTTTAATAAGCGGTTATACTTTCTGTGCTTTTTTTAATAATATAGCCTAAATCTCCGAGGTTTAGTTTAATTAGCTGTTGCTGATTAAATTAAGCTATAGATTAATTTTGGATTTTAAACTAAAGGCTGGGGTATAGTTTTTTATTAAACTAACTGTTATAGCATTAAACCTTTTATATTAATATTAAATTTAACCTTTATAAAATACTAAAAATAACTAATATTAATTATACCTTTTATAATATTAACTATTTTACTATAAAACTTTAATTTAAAAAATATTTAGTAAAATAAAATAAATACTTAATAAACTATCTTTAAATATAATATATTATTAACTTATTTAAAATACTTATTTTATTAATTATAAAAGAGTTTAATTTTATATATTATATTAAGCTTTTATTTATATTTTTTTTTTAATTTTATAATATTAATATATTTAGTAGTTTTTTAATTATAGGAAAAGTATTTTAAAAAATCTTCTAAATATATTATTAATATATTTATAATACTTTATTGAGGTTTTATTAGGTATTTGACTAGGTTAGATTGTATAATACTTTATATTTATTTTTCTTATTTATATACACTTAGAGTAGCTGCTAGTTTTATTATTATAATAGTAGTAGTAGTATTATATATATAAAAAAAAAGATGTTTAAAAAGAAATAAAAGAAAGGAAATAGATAATAGAAGCTTAAACCTCTTGGCTAAAGGTTAGCTAAGGTGCTAACCCTTCTTAGCTAATTAAATCCTCAGGCTATAATGTAACGTCACTGCCCCACCCTTATGTGACCCACACCGCCCTCCCTCACATAAGGTGTAACTGCCTAATACGTATTTTGGTGTGGGTATATGGCTAGATGGGGGGAGCTGATTAGCTGCAGCCTAAAATATCTGTACTACTCTTTATGTATTATCCGAAGGTAATCTTCTCGGCGCTCGTACAGCGAATGACCGACCTCAGATAAAGGTCGCAGCTCACCGCGGGGCATCCATTCTTTGCCCATACTCTCATCTACCACTGGACTTCGCCCGTCATGCTCTCTTCCGACCGCACCCAATATACTCTGGCACTCTGGCTGACGCCCGTCGTCCTCTATGTCGTGTACGCGTGGCTCAAAGTCATCACCGGCGCCTTCTTTGGCCCTTTGAGCAAAATTCCCGGCCCCAAGCTCTGGGCCATCTCGCGCCTTCCTCGTATGTACATGGAATGGCAGGGTGAGGAAGCAGCTGGAGTCGCCGCGTTGCACAAGAAGTACGGCCCGGTCGTGCGGCTGGCGCCCAACGAAGTGTCGTTTGCTGGTGGTGCTCAGGCTTGGGTAAGGCTCCGCGGGAAAACGTGCCCGTAGCTATTCCCCAGCCGCGCTGACATGACTGACTCCCTTGTCGTGCCCAACAGAAAGACATTTATGGCTACCGAAAGAACGTGGGCCAAGAGAAGCATCCATATCGTTCGTCGGCGTCGTATTGGCCTCCGGCCAACGGAGCCCCGAGCATGATTCAGGCCATCCGTGACGAAGACCACCAGCGACTGCGCAAGAGTCTGGCCGTCTCGTTCAGTGAGAAGTCCATGAAGCTGATGGAACCACGCGTCAAGGGCTGGGCTCGGCTTCTGCAGACCAAGTTGGCTGAGCGCGGTGATGCTGCGGTGGATATGGTCGAGTTGTTTAGATGTGCAGTAAGTCCAACCATGTATTCCGTCTATCGCGATTTCTGATCTGCAGGTTATCGGGGGAGAGTTGAGAGCTGAACGCTGAATGGCACATTTGGTTCTGATTGACTAACGAGGCCGTAGACTTTCGATGCCATGGGTGACCTCGCGCTAGGGTAAGGCCAAGCTTCTAGAGATTGTTTGCCGCGCTAAAGTCTTCTCCTTCGACAGGGACGACCTGCAAATGCTGAGAAATGGCCGTCTCTCCGACTACGTCCATGCAGCTTTTAGTGGCATTCGAACCATCATCCGCCTTCGGGTCCTCTCCACGTACAATTCCTTCACCCGCTGGCTCGTTCAAGACTGTTTCTTCCAAAGCGCATTCGTCCGGAAGGCCGCCATGGAAAATCTTCGCTACTCCGCGGACCGTGTGGATCGTCGCCTGCAAGAACCAGACCGAGACCCTCCCGATCTCTGGACAAAACCCCTGACTGGTATCGACGGCAAGATGTCCCTGGACGAATATCACTCCACCGCACAGCTTCTCATGACTGCGGGCACCGACACTTCGGCGATAGGCTTGTCCGGCACACTATATTATCTTCTTACCAACCCCGACTGCCTCGCCAAGGTCACTGACGAGGTTCGCTCCGCCTTCTCATCTATGGACGACGTAACCTACGAAACCCTCGCCCAACTGAAGTACTTGGACGCCGCGCTGCAAGAAGGCCTGAGACTCTACCCACCGGTGCCTACCGGCGCACCTCGCGTCACTCCGATGCCTGGATGGTCCATCGGCGGCTACTGGATCCCAGGTGGTGTGAACGTCCACGCGCCCCACTATGCCACCTCTCGCCTTCCCGCCCACTTCACCGCTCCCGAATCTTTCCACCCAGAGCGCTGGCTGGGCGACGAGAAATTCCAAAACGACCGGCTTGATGCCGTCCAGCCGTTCAACCTCGGCCCTCAGAACTGCTTGGGTCAGGTACGACTTGCCCACGAACACGTTCACGCGAACCAAAAACTCGTCTCGCCGATGCTGACTGCGAACTAGGCTTTTGCCATGAACGAGATGCGCCTCTTCATGGCCGCTGTGTTGCTCCAATTCGATCTACAGTTGTGCGAGGACCCCCGAGCCTGGTTGGATCAACGAGTGTTCTCCATGTGGGAGACGAAGCCGTTGATGTGTGTCGCGACCAAGACGAGCTGAAGTCGATCCCGCTCGTTCCATGATCCTTGGAAGGTGGGAGTATAGACGGTGTTTCAACTTTCAACTCTCATTCCTCGTCAAGGCGACTGTGCGAGACACTTCTGATCATGTAACATGAAAGAACCCGGCGTCCAGCAAACAGGCACTTAACGCCATGGAGTGGAATGGTCGATGCTAGCACTCGAAAGATAAAAACCATACGTAGATGAGTAGATATTATCTGCCGTGCCTAGGTGCCCAGAAATCTAGAAGCCTGGTAGCCCCCAGACTAGTTAGCAGCCGATTCCTGAAAAAGGGGGGGACCTCCAAATGTCACATAATCGCTCTAGCCTTCAGCTGAGCCGCGATCACATACGAGAATTCCTTATTGCAACTGAGCGACTCTATGCAACCGTCAGATCCCCCTGGTATATATAAAAGAGTATTGCTCTTTGTAGCATACGATTTTGCTGTTTGTAGTATAATTCAGGCATACCTCAGTTAGCTACACACCTGCTATATATACTCCGTAGTACTTAAGATATAGTGTACTCTGCAGGTGGGGTCAGTAGCAGCGCTGGAATCTATTAGCTTGAGCCAGCCTTGCACACAATAATAATAACACTACACGCGAATTAAAGCTATTACTACTGATATAAGGCCACTTAACTTATTGCTAAAAATTTCTGATGTTATTAAATCCCTCTATGACGCTGGGAGCGTACGTTCTGCCTCACTGGGTACTAATTTTAATAATAAAGCTATTACTATAATATCACCACTGCTACTATTACTAACGTTCCCGTTATTTAAAGAGTTACTTACTTTTGTTCAAGAATTCTACTGGCTTAATAGTATTAGGTTTGTGACGAGTTTAATTAATTTTTAAATAATAGTAAATTTATTTTAATATAAATATATTCAATAATCTTCTTAAAATATAATTTTGGAATAAATTAATGGATTGGAAGGCTTTATTGCTGAGGATAATAGTAGGGATAATCTGTAGGTATGATTCTAAATGAGATTATAAAGGAATTAGTGAGTTTACACTATAGAATTAGTAAAGTAATATAATAGGTATATAGCTAGCTGAGGTATGCTTAAATTATGCTATAAATAGCAAAATCATATACTGCAAATAGCAATACTTACATAAAACGGTGCGAGGTGGTAAGCGAGGTAGTAGCTCTGCGGGGAAGGGGGGTGGGGTGCATTAGGCGAAGCTGTGAGCGACGCCTTTTTCTTACTGCAGGCCTGTCTGCGGATGGGAAACACCGGGTTTTACGCCGACGGTCGCCAGATGGGGAAATGAAGGCGCTAGATGGGTGCAACAAGTAAGCAACCGGGTCGCGACCGCTTCTGTTCTTCCCTCGGGGCTCTGCGTCCCAGAAGCATAGGAGGGCGTGGAGAATGGTCTCTTGTATATTAATGTAGCCTACCAACAGCGCTAGGATAGGTGTTTACACAAAGCCAATCGAAGTAGGAAGGAGGTTTAAGTTCAACGGGGTAAATGTTAATACTTAAGGAAGTTGATACCCTTTGTAGTTAATGTAAAAAATATAATTTAATTAGTTAAATAAATAAGGGTTTAAAAAAAAAAAACTTATATAATATATTAAATTTAATTAAGAAAATTTTATTAAAAGTAATTTATATAGTTTTTATTAAAAAAATATTATATACTATTTTAATTTTATTTAAATTTATATAAAAATATTATTTAAATTTAATAATTAATTTTTTAAAAATTAAATTTTAAAATCTAATAAAATAAACTTATATATATTTATAACTTTTATTAATATTATATAAAAATAATTTATAAAAATATATATTTATATATCTATTAATATTAATCTTAATAGAATTTACTTAATAATTTAAATATAATAGTACTGTAGCTACAGTAAGTTATATTATATATACTGCTATTATATTAACCTTAACTACAGTTATTGCTTTCAATGGCCTCTTTTTTGCTAAGTTAGTATATTAGTATGTGCAGTTGTTACAATAGTTATTACAGAGCTGGGCTAACCGCCCATTGCTACAAACAGCTTTTGAGGTTATTTTGTGTAGCCTCTGCAAGTATGTCTTTAATAAGGGTAGTATAGGACAGCCTTTACTACAGGGCCTATAAGGGCTAGTGTGCAGAGACAGCCTAAGGCAGAGATATATATGATCCTTGGCTGTATCATTTGTAAAGAAGGTATTGCAAAAGATAAAGAGTTTTATAAAAATTAGTTTTAATAAAAGTTTACTGCTATTTATTATTATTTTAGATAACTATATACACTATTTATACTTTAATATAATATTAATATGAAAATAAAGTTCGTAAAATAATGAATATAAATTTTAATAGCTTTTAATTTATTAAATAAATATAATATATAAAATATTATATTATTATAAAGCGTTTATTATAATAAAGCTTTAAGTTATATTTTTAAAAGTATATATTATATACCTTTTTAAATACTTGATAATATTAAAAAAAGTACTTTTATTAATTAAATAAAAAAGAAAAAAGTTATTTACTACTTAGGAAAAGTAAAAGCTTTTTACACTAGTTCTAATACAGTGTTATTTCGTTTATTTCCTTTATAAATTACCTTTTACAAAAGACTACAGTTACCTACAGAAGCTAACTACAGGGGATATCAACTTCCTTAGGTATCAACATCCACCTCTTTGAACTTATATATAACAGTCTATGGTAGGGTAGTAACTGTACAAAAATGGTACTTGATACTCTATATATACTTTTATTAATTTCTAATGCTCTATTTTATCTATTTAGTAAATTCATTATCTCACTATAATTTATATTAAAAAAGCTTTTATAACTTATATTATAAGTAAGTAAAGCTTACTGGTATTCTTAATAAAAGCAAATTACTTATGTTATTACTACCTAGGTACACTATGAAAGGCTACATGTAGATTAGAAGGCCATTCTTTCCGCTAGTCTTTACTCAAAGTAGGCCGTTAGCCATTAGAGACCCCTTATATATACAACTGTCTCTCCCGTTGGAAATTCTATTAGGCAAACCCTTCTGTCGGACCTTTTAACGCATCCCCCAACTCTCGTCCACCTTGAGCCATGTCCCACAACGGCGAGCCCGACCCGCTCTACCGCGAGCCCTATCCCCTTAACCGCGACTTGCTCGCCTCCGCCCGCCTGCACCTCCAGCACGCCGTCTTCGTCAACGGTCTAGGCTACCTGCTGCACCCGGCCGTCCCTATCGGGCCCGCCTCGCACGTGGCTGACATCGCCACCGGCACCGGCATCTTCGCCCTCGCCCTCGCCGCGGCCCACCCCGAAGCCCGCGTCGAAGCCTCCGACATCTCCCTCGCCCAGGTCCCCGCCCAGCACTGGTGGCCCGCCAATGTGACCTTTGCGGTCCTCGACATCTTCCAGGACCCCTTGCCGGCCTCACTGCTCGCGCGCTACGACGTCCTCTGCCTCCGCCACTTCGTCTCCCTGCAGCCCGGCGATCCGCGCCCGCTGATCGCCCGCTTGCTGGCCATGCTGCGGCCCGGGGGCTATCTGCACTGGCAGGAATGGGACCTGACCACCGCCGCCGTCTTCGCCCCAGACGGCACCTCCACCCCTAAGATGCAGGCGCTGATCGATTACATCAAACATCCCTCCCGACACACCGCCCAGGCCACCTGGGTTGGCGACTTGCATCAGAGGGTCGCCGCCGGCGAGGTGCCTGGCGTGGAGCTGGTCGCTCACGACCGTGTCCGCGCCGCTAAGGCCGCCGTCGTCGCTATGCAGCAGGAACTCATGGCGCTGGGCACCAAGGAGGTAGTCGCCAGTCTGCGGGCCCGCGAGGGCGAAGCGAGCGTCGAGGCCGCTAAGTTCGAGAAGATCGCGCACGACGCCGTCGACGAGTGTCTGAGCTTGGGGAGGGGCCCTGTGATCGATCAGGAGATGGTGACGTGGGTGCTGAGGAAGAAGTGATGTGCATCCCTTTGAGTGCCATATGGTCCATCTGAAGTATCTTCCTAGGATTGTGGCCAATTAAATCGCCACAAATTGAGAGTACATCAGCTGCTGCCAAAATTGGCCACGAAGGCAAGTCTCGAAATTTAGATTAGTACGGTGAGCTACATAACGTTAATGATCAACGCGGCGATCAGGCAACCTTTTTAGCAAATAAAGTCCTTTATTGTATCCAGTCCGTATAGAAACAAGGTGGATACAAGTACTTGGGTTGGACCATATGGCACTCGAAGGGATGCAAGAGATAGAATGTATTTTCTTCGGTTTCTCCTCTTGGCACGCACGGAACTTGTAGCACACGTGTGAGGGCCACGTGTTGAATGCATTTCAAAGACATCATCTTGGTTTATATTGTCTCTACTCGTGACTCGGGGCTTATTTTAGTTGCCTCCTGCTATTAGCAACTCGACCGCTTTGCTCGTCGATGCCACCTTCCTACACAGCTGAGCAAGACTCAACGAGCCCATGATTTCCAACACAGGCACATCCGCCTTGACCTTTCTCGCCATGAACGTCCTCAGTTCTAGCGCAACAAGCGAGTCAACGCCATTGGCACTGATGGTCCGCGCCGGATCCACATCCTCGACCGCAATTGAGAGCAAGGAAGACAACTTATCAATGACCGATTCCGTCACAATCTGAGCCGCCTCATCCAGAGTCCGAGCTGCTCGAAGCCGCGCTTCAACGTCAGGTCCATCACCCCCGGTCGTCCCTGCGCCGTCTTGCTGCGTATTGAGCCGCCGCAGCTGCGTGAAGAGAGGGAAGTTCATGTAACTGAGCATCGGCACGCCTCGAGCACGATGCTTGTCTAACGGAGTCAAGCCCGTAACAAGCTGTGCAGGCGACTGCAGAGCAGCGTTCATGCCGTACTCGATAAGCGTAAGCAACTCTTCTTCGCGCAGCACTTTCATCATACTGCCTAGGTATTTTGTCATGGCGAGGCGGTCCGCGTGATCGGCCACGTATCCGACGTCTAGCACTGCGCCAACGTCGATCGTCGTGGCCGCTAGACCTTGCTGCCGACGGAAGTACGCCAGCGCGTCCTGGAAGGTGTTTCCTGCGGCGTAGTTGGCCTGAGCCCGGTTGCCGAGGACGCCCGTGGCTGAAGACAGCATGATGAAATGCTCCAGATCCTGGGGCAGAAGTTCGTGTAGGTTCCACGAACCTTGAATCTTGGGTCTGATAGCCAGCTGGAATTCCTCGTGCGACATGTTCTCGAGCATGATGTCCTGAACGCCATAGATTAGCATCCTTCCATGGGGTAGCATTTATTACTATCATACCTTTAGCTTCATTGCTGCTTGGACGACTCCTCTTATAGGTGGGAGGGTCTTGCATTGTTCGAGAACGAGACGTAGCTGTTCCTTGTCGCTGACATCGCATGTGAAGATATGCACACGACATCCGTCTGCTTCGAGAGTCTCGCGCATCGTTGTGACGGCTGGAGTGATGCGGCCGCTGCTGGACAGGAAGATCAAATTTCGAGCGCCTCGCAAAGCCATCCATGCAGCAACGCTCCGTCCAATACCTCCAAGGCCACCACTGAGCACGTAGGATGCATCTCGACAAAAGCCAAGCGGCGCCGGTGACGGTGGAAGGAGTGGCAGAACGTCATCCTCCCGAGGCACCAGAACAATCTTGCCCATTCCCGTGCCGGCCTGGAGAATGCGAAGTGCATCCACCACCTGCGACATGGGCATTATCGTAGTTGGTGATGCAGGCAGTGCCACACCCTCTTTCCACAGCCGCATCGTTTCCTCTGTCAGCATCTTGATGAGAAACGGTTTGTTCTTCATCATAGAAACGAGGTCGACGCTCGCCATGGTCACGTTGCGCAAGTAGGGCCGAAGATCCACTTTGCCATTCATCATGGCGTCTTTCTTCCCAATCTCAATGAAACGACCGAAGGGTGCCACCAGATCCCATGAGCGGCGCAGCGCCTCACCAGAGAGCGAATTCAAGACTACGTCAACACCTCTGCCTTTTGTCATACGCAACACGCCCGGGACGAATGTGAGGTCGCGGCTTGAAAAGATGTGATCGTCTGGAATCCCGAACTCCCTAATTATCAACTTATTCTTTGTTAGCAAAAGGTGGATTCGATTGTCACGGCAACAAACTTACGTCTCGCTTCAACGTAGTCGATACGGTTACATACACCTCGGCGCCAATATGTTGAGCGTAACGAATCGCAGCCTGGCCCACCCCACCGGCAGCAGCATGGATAAGAATGGTTTCGTCGGGCATCAACCGAGCCGTCTCCCGTAGGCTGTAAATGACTGTCGCATAGACAACAGGCAAGCCGGCAGCCATCTCCAAACTGAGCCCATCGGGGACCTTGGCGACTGTCGATTGATCCAAACGACCATAGGTGTGCATGCACCCGACATGGTCTAGGCCACAGATGTAGACAACCCTGTCGCCAGGAGCGAAGTCGACTACTTTGGAGCCCACGCGAGAGATGATGCCAGCTGCTTCACTGCCCATCGAGTACGCCGTATGCTCCCCCATGGCAATCATGAGATCGCGAAAGTTGAGGCCAACAGCTCGTATCTCGATTTCTACTTCTGTATCGGAGAGTGGCTCATTGTACGTCTCGTCGGTCACCCACTCAAGTTTTTCTAGCAGGCCTGGAACAGTTGTCGTGAGCTTGATGGGCCTGCCAGCATCCCTGGCCAGCGTTGGGACTGCTTCTGAGCGGTATAGAGCTGTTTGCAAGTATTCATCTGCACGAATGGCCTCGCGGAGCCGACTCGTCCAGATCCGGCCATCTTGAAGCATGAACTCGCCATTCATGTTCTCAACTGGGAGAGTGAGCGAGAACTGCGCCTCACACAGCCTTCGAATCGACGCACTCAGCGAGGTATTTTCAGGTCGAGGCTCAGAGATTTTCAGTGTGACCAGGTTGGAATCGTCCAAGTCACGTTCCCATCTGTTTGTACGCATCAGGCCGGTTATGGCTCCGTACTGGGGGCAGAAAAGCTCATCTCCAGTTACCCACAAGATGCTTTTAGTCTCGATCAGCATTTTGCGGACACCCTCGTACTCGGCCTGGGACAGATCTGCAATCACAGGACGTTCGAGTTCTGCTAGAACAATGCAGAGACTTTGGCTATACTCGATCCCTTCCAATTCTAGCAGGGATACGATCCTGATGTTCTGGAACCGGAGATTCTCGTTCAACTTGTCTTTGATGTCTTGCAACAAGCTTTGAGTGTTGCTTCGCTCGAAGCTAGGGAGTGTGACGAGCACAACGTTCTTCCACATGGGACCGGGCTCGTTGGCGTCTACAGAAGCGTTCTGGGCCACGAAAAGACTCTGGCTATGGAGCTGTTCATTGTGGCTATCGGGAAGTTCGAAGCGCGCTCCTGTAAAACCAGCAGCCTCGAGGACTTCATTCCACTGCTTGGATGAGACCCATGGCATCCATTGACGCATGGATTCGGTGCCACTCCACCACCCTGACAGCTGGCCAAATGATAGCCCGGACCAGTAGTAATCCTGCCTTATACCTTCTTGTAGAAGCAGGCGGCCTCCGGGCTTCAGCAACTGGCGAAGATTACTCAGTGTTTTGGTGAGGTCGGTGGTGGTATGGATGACATTCTGAGCTACAATCAAATCATAGCTCCTGACTTCGAAGCTCTCCTGCTTGGCGATGTCTTGTTCTGCGTCCAGAACTCGATACTCCATGATGTTCGTGTATGGCTGGAATTTCTGCCTTGCTTGTTCGAAAAAGGCGGCCGAAATATCAGTGTACATGTAATGTGACACGCTACTAGCAATGGACACCCCATCATCTGCGATGGGAGCAAGGGCATCAAGTACTTGCGCAGTGGACGAGCCAGTGCCGGCACCCACCTCGAGCACGCGTAAATTGGCCTTATTCTTGGCTAATACGTTCAAATAGGCCTTCTGTTGCGCTGGCAGGTCGTTCAAGGTCGCAGTTCGTCTGTAGACTCGATCGAGTATGGCATCCTCAGCGAACATGAGCTGCAGCGGGTCTGTCTCACCTCTTAAGACGGGCACGATGTTGCCGCCCATTCGTACTGCCAACTCACCGAACGCAGTGTCCGAAGCAACCTGTTTGTATAGCTCCACCTTTGCAGCGTGGTCATGTTTGAGTCGCTCAACCTCAGAGGCTTGGATACCGATCACCTTGCCGAGCTGGAGATCACTCTCGACGTGCTTCATCCACTCGAAATACCGATAGAGATGACCTTGAGCAGCGGCCGGCACCTTGCCATCTAGTTCCTCCAGTGCGTCCAGGACAAGAAGCACCGAGGCCAGCTGCATACGAGAATCGATCTCGATCGCAGCTTGCTCTGAGTCCAAATCAGGCTTGGGCATCTCAGCGAACGAAGCGACGTCGCCTCCTTCGAGATACATATCCACGTGAGGAATCCATTCAATCTCGTGACACATCTTTTCTGCGCCGAGCGAGCTCTGTGCGGCGGAATCCAGGGGGCTTGCTTCAATTCCACTCCAGGAGATACGGGGTTCTTGAGTGGGTCCATCCCAGACGACAACATCTGTCGAGAACTTCTCAAACGCAATCTTGCGCGTCTGGCTGTGAGCACGATAGACATGACCAGGCTCAGGGTTCATTGCCGCAGAAATCCAAATGTCCTTGATGAACCGCGGCACCATGGCCACTTCGAGGTTGCTCTTTCCTGTGGCGTCCATGATCGCGGCCAGCGCAAAGTGCATCAAGCTGTCCATGCAAGCTGGATGCATCAAGTGCGGAGATACGATACCCTTGGGCATAACACTTGCAACGTCGGGGACGGTGACTGTGCCCATAGTCTGGCCACCATGGTCAAAGGTACCCCGGACAGCCGAGCAGTTCTGGAACAGCGGTCCAAAGTTCAGCCCGATTCTTGCCAATCGCTCATAGGCCTTGGAAAAGTCCCAGGGAGATTGACACTGCTCTTCTGCAGCAGTGAAAGCGGCGTGCCAGCGTTCTGCGTCGTGTCGGGCTTCTCGTCCCTGGTCGACCGGATTGGGGGCAGATGTCTCATGATCCACGCCAACGTATCCAGTGCAGTGTTCGATCCAGTCGTTCGCGGTTGGGTTATAGGACACTACTTGAAACCGACGCCAATAAGCCGAAGTGCCGACACTGGACTCATCAACTGGCTTGAAATTCAACATTACTTCGACCCCTTCTTTCGTGTCGGGCACGATCAATGCACGTTTCATGTTGACATCTCGAAGCCGGAAGCCGCTCAATTGTACATTTGGATCAGCCAGCTGTCTGGCTGCTTCGATTACCGCAATCACGTAGCCTACGCCAGGCAAGATGATGTTATCAGTAACGATGTGATCTCGTAGCCATGGCTGCTCAGAGATTCTCAGAAAGTTGCGGAATCGAGGAGCCATCGCGTCCCAGTCGGGTACTGGAGCACCGAACAGGTCATGTCTGATCTCTTTGCGGAGGCGATAGTTCCGGCTTAAGCGACTCTCATACCAAAACTTGTTGGAATGGTTGAACTGGTATCCAGGAAGTTCAGGAAGTATACGCAATGGGCGAGACCCTCTTCCACCAGTCGTATCAGCGCTGTTATTCACGTCATCAACGTTGATCGGATACCCGCGGGCATGAAGGTAGCCTATGGCGTTCAGGAATACGTCTGCCCCAGGGGCATTGCGTTTCAGTGCCGGGAGGAATGCTACCGCAACGCCCTCGGCATGAGCTGCGAGCACATCTCTTATGGCGCCTTGCAATGCTCCATGAGGGCCAAGCTCAATCAAAACATCCGCAAAGACGTTGGCTCCAGCAGCATCTGCACGGAGGGTGGCCTGTGTTTGGGTTGTGCGGCTAAAGCAAAGGCCTGCCAGGGCATCGGAGAAACGCACTGGATTTAGGAGATTCTTGGCCCAATAGTCGATGGAGAGACAACGGCCTTCGACTGCTTCCCCCGTGACGCTCGAGATCATGACCACAGGTGACTGAGGTGGCTCGCTCGGCGCGTGGAGCGTACCCACCAGACGGACGTATTCGTCTGCGAATTCCTGCATATGCGCAGAGTGATAGGCATTTGGGACCTTGAGCTTCCTCGCGAAGAGCCCTTCAGCCTCCAAGACTTGTTGCAGAGCTTCGACTTTATGCACATCACCCGAGACGGTGCTGCTGCGAGGACTGTTGAGACATGCCACAACTAATTCCCCAGAGAGTTGGGCATGAATTCGGTCAAGATAAGGGGCGAGCGCTTCTTGACCCAACCCGACAGCAAGCATAGCGCCTTTGGTCTCGGTCGTCTGCCTCCCGGTGACTAGTCCACGGAAATAAGACGCTCGCCAGGCCGACTCGCGAGTCAGAAGGCCAGCGCAGTAAGCAGCAGCAATCTCGCCGGAGGAATGGCCCACGACACGACTGGGCTGGATATTCCACGATTGCAACAAATCCACAATCGCAACTTGAAGGGCAGTGCACGCCGGCTGAGCCAAGGCTGCTTGATCAAGACGACTATGTTCTTTGTCTTTGGCGAGCTCGTCGAGGAGATCCCAGGGGCAGCCACATTCGATCTGCAAATAAACTCTGCACGCAGCCAGACTCTCACGGAACACCGGGTAGCAGAGTAGCTCACGTCCCATGCCATACCACTGTGCTCCCTGACCCGTGAACACAAAGGCCACGTTGACAGTGGTGCGAGCCCGCAGCGGTTTGGGCAAGGGCGAAGCCAGACGTGTCTCGAGCTCGACCAGCGACCTTGCTAATACGTGACTCCGCCAGGCCAGCTTCGAGCGCCGACTCATTGTATGGGCAAGATCGTTCAGATAGGTCAAACTTTCGGAGTCGGATATCGATTCGGGCCTGGCATGGAGGAATTCTGCATGTGTTTTTGCTGCGCGACTGCAGCCTTCTTCATCGAAAGCAGAAAAGGGAACGAGCTTTGGTGGACACTCGATTGGATCGAAAGCCCTCCAGTCTCCGGCAAGCTCGATTGTGCGTCGATTTCCCAAGCCATTGGTAGGCTGAGGTTGGATCCCATTGGCAAAGCTATCCACTGTTTCTCTATTGGAAGAGTAGACGGCATTGCTATCTCCAGCACTGTTGGGATGGTTGTTGGTGAGACCATTCACATGTCCATTGGTGATGTTGAATCTATCGCCGTTTACGAGATCGAGATCTGCGTTGGTCGGAGGCAAGGGTCGTGTATAATGAGTCGCGGTCAACCCTCGGTCCTGGAGATAGTGAAAAGCATCATCGAGAACAACATGGCCGTTTGTACCGCCGACTCCAAAGGAATTGATAGAGATCCTGCGCAAGCCGATCGTAGGCCAAGGCGTTGGTTCAAGAGGGAATTGAAGCCGCCATTTTGTTGCCGGGATCTTCGGATTGACTTTTTCGAAATTGACGTTTGGGGGGATGATCCCATTCTCAAGGATAAGAACAGACTTGATGATGCTGCTCGTCTTTTAGCGGCCTTCCAACAGTCATTCAACACACAGACGATAAACTTACGCTGCAGCGCCTGCCGCGCCCTCCAAATGACCAATGCCGGACTTACAAGCCCCAATGTACAGCGGAGGGAGATTCCTTGGCCGAGCTGAGAAGGCTCTCGCAATTCCATTGGCTTCGATCGGGTCACCCGCCGCGGTACCAGTCCCGTGAGCCTCGACCATGGCCGTATTGTTGACACTCAAGCCTGCCCTTGCATAGACCGTCCTGATCAGCCTTTCCTGCGCCAGACTATCCGGGTTGGTCAATCCAGGAGTTCGGCCGTCCTGATTCACACCAGTGCCCCGAATGACGGCTCTTATAGAGTTGCCATCTCGAATGGCATCACTGAAACGCTTTAAAATGATCGTCCCGACTCCCTCGCCACGAGCATAGCCATTGGCACGGTGATCGAAGCTAAAGCACCGGCCGTCTTGCGATAGGAATCCTTGATAAGACATGGAGGCCACATCGTTGGGGTAAGCCAAGACCGTGACCCCGCTGGATATGGCCATGTCGCTCTCGCCACTACGTAGACTCTGGCACGCCTGATGAAGTGTCACTACGGAGCTGCTACAGGCAGTATCGATGGTCATGCTTGGACCTTTGAAATCGAAAAACCAAGAGACTCGGTTGCTGAGGACGGAGTTGGTCAATCCGGTTGCACGATATCGCAAAGGGCTCTCCGCATCCGCATTTATGATGGAGAGATAGTCGTGATTGAAGCCCGACACATACACGGACGTGTTGGATCCATTGGCTTCGGAGAGTGGGATTCCTGCATTCTCTAGAGCATGGTAGACGTTCTCCAACACCAGACGTTGCTGAGGGTCCATGCAAATGGCTTCGCCTTTGGTGATGCCGAAAAAGGGTGCATCGAAATATTCGGGCGGCTCGGCCAAGAAATGCGCCCCTTTGACCGAGTGTGTTCCGACTCGCTCATTGTCGGGATGATAGTGGCCGGCTCCGAAGCGATCATCTGGCCATGGTGAATGTGCGCTTCGTCCTTGCAGGAGGAATTGCCAAAAGCGTTCGACGGTCGAGGCTTCTTGTGGAAGCTTGCAAGCAATGCCAACGATGGCGATGGCCTCGTCAGGTCCATGATTCGACATGCTTCTTTTGACAAGACACAAGACTTATAAGCCAAGGGAGAAGCTGCGGGCTGGAGAGGAGGAGAAGCAAATCGACGATCACATGCACGGGAAAAGGGTTACAGTGCACTCCAGGAGATGCAACACAACAAGAAGGAAAAATGTTTGCCTAAAGCGAACGTTTATGGTCGCAATCAACAGACACGGGCAGCGGAAATCCACACACGAGTAGATACCTGCCGCTCAGCGTCGAGTTTGCGTCTGTCTAGCGATATTCGGCGACCCGCAAGGATTGCCTGCAAGCGAACTGTGATTCCAATATGGGTCCTCTTTTAGCTACTATACCGTCGGACTGTCCATCCTGCTCATGCGAGCGTCTACCTTGTCCGAAAGGATGCCGTGCTTCGACGGAAGACAGAGTCGCATTTCTCCGCGCGAACTGATGAGTATTGATAGGGGGCCCTTGCTAAGGCCCTTCTGTCTATAATGACTAGGATTATGTAGTGTTAGCTCTGTAGTGAAGTACTAGTAGATAGTAAAAAGTTACTAAGTAAGTATATAAGTAAATAATACATATATATATATATATATATAATTAAATAAAAATAAAAATAAATAATATTTTAATTTATAAAATTAAATTTTATATATTTTTAAACTTTATATTTATTTATAAAATAAAAATATTATTAATAAAAGTTTAATTTATTATTTAAAAAAAAATTATTATTATATTATTATACATAATTAATATTATAGTTAATATTATTATTAAAGTTTATAATTAAAATAATAAAAATATAAATATTAATAATTTAAAAAATAAAATTATTATAATTTTTTTTTTTAAAAAAAAATTAATATTAAAATAAAATATTTTTTTAATTATTAATTTTATAAGTTTTTAATAAAATATTAAAAAGTTAATTATAAAAGTTTATAATATTTATTAATTTAATTAATTTATTTAAAAAAGTTTTATAAATAAATTAATATAATTTATTAAATAATAATTAAAAAGTAAAATTATAATTATAAACTTTTATTAATATAATTTAAGTTTATGTTATTTAATTAATATTAAATTTATATAATTTTTTAAAAAAATGTATTTATTTATAATAAGTTTTAAAGTTAATAATTATTAAATATTTAAATAAAAAATATAAAATAATTTAAAAGTAAAAAGTTTATATAATAATTATTATTTTATAAATAAATATTTAATAATAATTATATTTATTTTTTAAATTTTATAGGAAATATTTTATTATTAATTATATTTATTTTTAAATTCTAACATTATAAATATAATAATTTTAATATTATTAAAATTGAAAAATAAATTAATATAATGTAAAAAATTATTTAATTTTATTAAAGTTAATAAATACATTATAAATTATAATTTATTTATAAATATAATTATAATAGCTTTATATAAAAAACGCTATTAAAAATAATGAAATATAAAAAGATATTTACTTAGTTACTGCAATATTTATAATTTAGTAACAGTGGCTTTTTATCCTCAACAAGGGCCCCCTTAGCAAAGGCCTCCATCAATACTCGCGCTGATTAAGCCTCAGACCTCACATGACCTGCGGCCCCTGCACCTGCCGCAATAGGAAGTAAGCTGATCTTTCCACTTGCTAGCTTTATAAATTGCTTTTTTTAGACTTACTAGGCTGACCCCTTTGGATACTGTACATCACGAACCAAGCTAAGCATAGTTAGTAGTCCGAGGGGTATCGTAGCTTACCTAGTTGTTGACGACACATGGCGACCACCCCACCTCCCCGAATCCTTTCAGCTCGCATATTGGAGATACATTCTACAATAGCTGAATGCGCTTCTTCGGCAGACCACCATGAACCTGTCTCCATCATGGCTACCATGAGCGACGTCTGGGTTGGCCTGCCATGGCCAGTACAATTGATCGCGACCTGCTTTGTCCTCACTGCAACTCTGTTGATCACGACTCGCCTCAATTCACTCTCCCATTCATGGCCAGCGGCAGCAGGAAAAGGCCACGAACCTCCAATAGCGCCCTACTGGCTTCCAGGAATCCAGCATCTGGCAGCCTTCCTTCTCGATCCTGCCCACACTTTCCGCACGACCCAGTCGAAATACAAAGATTCGCCTTACACATTGCTCATGGGGAACGTGAAGTTCCACGTTTTTGGTTCTCCATCTGCCGCGACCCATGTCTTTGCACGCTCGCGCACGTTTGCGTATGAACCGGTGACCTTGAGCATGCTGGAGAATGGACTGGATCTGCCCGTGGCCGACCGAGTTTACTTTCAAATCGGTCTGGATCGAGCAAATAGTGCAGAGCATGCGAAGGGGTTCGTGGTGCAAAACCATAATGTCTGGTTGCGATACTTGTCAGGCGAGCCGTTGGACGACCTGATGCAGCTATTCACACGCCACTTCCACCAAATCCTGGAGCAACACCTGGATATGAAGACAAGAGGCTGGCAGACAGTCGATCTATACCAAGTCCTGCGCAAAGTCATTTTCGACACCTCTGTCCTGACGTTCTTCGGTCCCCATCTTGCTCAGATATGGGGTCCTACCATGTGGAAGGACTTCTGCCTGTTCAACGATGCCACCTATATTGGTGTCAGAACAAATTTGGCGTATGTCTTGCAGCCGCGCGCTGGCCGCGCGCGGGAGAGAATGCTACGCGCCTTTGAACAGTGGTTAACGCACCATTCAGAGGGAGACTGGCCGGACAAGGACAAATATTGGAACGAGGAATGGGGCGCAAAAATGAATTGGGAACGTGACCATCTGGCGCGACAATTCGGCCTCTCCCTCCGTGGACGGGCGGCCATGCAGGCGAGCTTCCTGTTTGCAATCGTTCTGAACGCCGCGCCGATGAGTTCCTGGTTTACCTGGGTGGCGGCGAGTAATTCAGATCGCCTGGCAAAGTGTCGAGTCGAGTCGTCCAAGTTCTTGCGACCGAGCAAATCAAGCCGCTTCGATCACGAATTGGACATCGACGCCACGCAAATGAGAGGCAGCAACTTCATGCAGGCGTTGTGGAAGGAAGCGTTACGCATAGGCACGGCAGCCTCGCCAGCACGTGTAGTCATGGAAGACACAGAGCTGGAAGGGTATGTCGTAAGGAAGGGCAGTGTGATCCTCATGCCCACTGCGTTGCTCCACCATAGCGACTTGTTCCCGAGAGCGGACCAGGTTGACACGGAAAGGTGGACAGGCGAGGATGCCATAGTCCAACAGCGGAGTAAAAGTATTCGCACATTTGGTGGAGGTATGGGCATGTGTTCTGGACGGCATGCGGCCGAGCAGGAGGTCATCGGTCTGGTCTCGAAGCTTATTACGCTGTTTGATATCGAGTTCGAAGACTCGTGGAAGAACAAGTTCCACTTCGACCCAAGAAGTCTCGGAATTATGCATCCTGCAGGTCCTCTAATGGTACGCCTGAAGCGGAGAGTATTATGACAGACTTATGCTAGCGGCATGTCGTACGCCGACGTGTACTGATTGGAAATCTGCTGTTTGAGGCACTAGATACAAGTGACGAAAGCTACGCATGTCTTAATGACTCGATATTCCCAGTTTATTAGCCTCGTGGTGCCAGCCTTATAGACTTGTTGTAGCTTCAGCGACCTCTCGAATCAGTCTCGCAATGTGCTTCATTTCCTTACGACCTCTGGGGAAATCATGCCCACTGCCATGATGGAACTCGCGTGCTTGGCCGGGATCACAGAGTCGTAGCAAATGGAGACCCTCGTGGGGATCACTCTCGTCGCTCTCGGTGCTCCGGATGTGCAGCGTGGGCAAGTCAATCAGTGGCGCACCGTCTGCGGGTAGTTCCCATCTACAAAGGCCATGCGTTCCGTTGGATAGAAACGTTGTTCCATCGACCAACTTCTTGCCCTTGAGTTTCTTGAGCAACGACAGTAGTTTTGCATGGTCGACCTGGTCCTGTTCGCTGACTCCGTCCTTCTTTCGCAGCGCACTCGGACGAAGAAACATATTCTCTGCCTGCTCGGTCATGGGTGCGGAATCTACGACGATGTCCTCGATGACTTGGGCGTCCTTCATAGCAAAACAGCGCAGGGGAGATGCTCCGTTGATGAAGACTGCAAATCGAAACGGTCGTTCCATGGCAAAGGGATCATCATAGGTTGCCTGAGCCAAGATCTCTGCTGCTAACGCAGCACCGCCTGAATAGCCCAGAATACCATCGAATGGGCCCTCTTCGACTATAATCCGCGCAAGGTCGTCATGAGTCTGCAAGATAGAAGCAGGATCAAAAGGGTTGTAGTATGTGTAAAGTGGAAGATGCGAGAATTGTGCTGTGTACAGGGACCAGTTGCCTTCGGTATGTCGAACCGTGCCTTGCACAAAGGTCCACTCAAAGTCATCGAGATCTGCACGGAAGGCTGCCGTCTGCGCCCGAAAGATCTCGTTGTTGGAGCCTCTACCGTGAAGGCAGAGGATCTTCATTGCAAGGAGCGTTGCCGTAGGACCGGTCTCACTCGTGCTTGAACAGTTTCTCTCGATAGAAGTACGGAAAAGGGTGCGATCTAGAGCACTCATGCCATGACATACTCACGGATTGGAGATGCTCGTGACTAGGGCGTAACTTACAGACGGGGTCATGCTAAGAAAGATACAAATTTGAAACCCACAAAAAGCATAGGCCCACTCAAAGTACCACTAAACAGACACCCCCCAGCCAAATTTAGGTTAGCTAGCATTCGGCTTAATTGATTCAATTGATTTGACTAACCGCCAAATCATACATTAGATCAGGGAGAAATTATACTGATTTCTGCAGAATCAGAAGGTTACGTTGCATTGGCTGCTGTTAAGTTTACTAAGGTTTATTAATGCGACGAAACAATTTATTAATGAGGATACTATTAATAATATTGTTTTCAGCAGCTTCCGTTTGTATATGTATATAAGAAAGGTACTATTATATAAAGGTACTTTTATATTTATGACTTTTATTTTTTTAGCAGTTTGATAATATAGTGGATTATAGTGTAAATGTTGTTATTTTATAAAATTAATATATAGATATATATTAGGCTTTATATTAAATTAATATATATTATATATAAAAGTTATATTTATTATAAAAAAATAAATAAAACTATAATTATTAAAGGAAAATTATATTTTAGTTTTTAATTAAAAATTTAAAATTAATTTAAAATTTAATTTATAAAATATAAAATACTATTTAAATATAAGTTTTATTATTATTTAATTTATTTAAAGTTTATACTTTAAAAAATATTTATATTATAAAATAAAATAATTATAAATTATTTTAATTTAAATAAAAAAATAAAAAATAAAAATATTATATTAATTTATAAATAAAAAAAAAAACTATATTAATTTATTATTTTAATTTATAAATTAAAAAAAAACTATAATAAAAAATTAAAAAATATTAATTTAAATAAAAATAAAATTTATTAATAAATAGTTTAGTAAACTTAAATTAATAAATTAAAAATAAAAAAAATTTAATTAAAATTTAATAAAAGTTTATTAAAAACTTATTTATAATTTACTTAAGGTTAAATAAAAGCTTTATAAAAAAGTTTTACTATTTTTACTATAGTATATTACTGTTTTTACTATAGTAGCTTATATATAAAACAAATCCTAAAATTCTAAAAATATACTATAATTATAAACAGCTAAAACCAGTCTTAAAAAAATAAAATTAATATTTTAAAAATTATTTTTTAATTATTTAATAATTAAATAATATTAAAATATATTTATTTTATTTATTTTATTTATTTTATTTATTTTATTTATTTTATTTATTTTATTTATTTTATTTATTTTATTTATTTTATTTATATATATATTAGAAAATATTTATTAAAAGTTTATATTTTAATTTTTACTTTTCTTATGTTTTCTTAAATAAAATAAAAGGAAAAATTTAAATTAGCTTTTTATTTATATAATATATATAATAATTATTTATTTTTCATTTTTATTTATTAATAACCTATAAAATCTCTATATATATATTTAAACTAATATTTTCTTAAATAGTAACTAAAACTTAATTTTTAAAATAGTTTATTATAAATTACGTAATAATTAACTTATATATATTTTTTAAATATTTTATTTTAATTTTTTAAGCTTTATTTGCTGCAGTTGAAAACATAGGTGGTTTTAGAAATGTCCTTACTTAATGGAACTACAGTAAAAATAGCAATATACTATAGTGAAAATAGCAAGACTTTTATAAAAACTTAAAAATAATTTAATTTTAAATAATAAATAAAAGTAAAAAAATAACAATAAAATTTAACTTACAACTAAGCTTTTAAAGCTGAGCTAAAGGGTGCTCTGCTATGATAAGTATTGTAGCCAATTGTATAAAGTGGAGCACCCCTTGGGTCAGCCGGGGCCACCCGTCAGGTTAACTTAGGGTATAGCCACCGGCCGCACTGCGGTGCTCCACATGTCCGTCGCTTCAATGCAACCTCCTCATAGTGCTGCACGACTGGCGCCAAGCTCCAACTAACAAGTCTGACCCATGACTACCATTCCTTCGTTTTCTGCCTTGCAGATTCGGTGCATCTGAGTTGTAACACTACTCGTTGCCAGCCGCAAGCTCCGTGTCTTCCACAGGGTCTGAGCAGGATTTGCGAAGGGACGCCAGATAGGACTAGACTGATGATGCTGCATGATTGAGTCGGACTCGACTACTCCGTGCACATTATCATCAATGTCATTGTCCGTTGTGAGCTACAACAATAAGACTTGCATCAATTTCCCCAGGGACCGTTGACCAAACGTCTCGACATGGATGCCCTCACACTGGTTGCCGTCGTCTGTCTCCTCGCCACAGGCCTCTGGGCATGGAGGAATTTGTACTATTGGTATTACAGCAATGGCCTGATGGAGTTTCTGGGACAATGCATCATGACTGATCGAGCTCCGAGTGGCCAGCCGCTCAAAGTCCTCTGTACCAGTGGCCGATTCCCATCTGTTGACATGCAGTTGAAAGGCCCCTCAATATTTCAACTCCTCTTCTTTGAAAACTGGACCTATCCAGATTCCACGTGGGCTGGCTTCTACTTCATCGGCTCCTTCGGCGTTTCATGGGCCCTGATCGTGCTGGAGAGCTTGCGCAGTTACAATCTGCATAACTTCGGATCTTGGACCACTATCCCGGGATTGCTCATGTTCAATCATACTCCGGCCATATATCTGCCTCTGTATCTCGGTGTACGGCTTGCCCTGATGACTCCGAGCAACATCACACCATCAGACCTGGCGATTGACCCGGTTCAACTCGAGCTTTTTCCTTGGGCCTTCGCCATCGGCTATGTGGCGCCGTTCATCGTGCTGTTACTTCCCGACCTTCGCATCCGCGATATAAGCATCAAGCAGTCCGTCGCAGCTTGGTGGCAGCAATGGCCTGCTTATGTTGCTCTCTGTCGACTTTTGTTGTCTCTGATCTGGCGCCCAGCAGTACTTCCATCGCCTCCGGCTACAGAAACTTGGCCGCAAATTGAGTCCGTGTACATGTTCATCTTCGTGATAGCTGCCCTGTCACACTGGCTCTCGGTATTTGGCGCCTTCGCAACACGCGTGACAATGATCGAGCTTTTCTTGCCGGCCTTGCCTGGAAAGGATAAGAAGGCACGCCACGGGTGGGAAGCAGCAAAGTGGTGTGTGCAATGGGACGTCGTCCTGGATACGCCTGCGATGGTTCTTTGGGCTGGTGTTTTGTATTGGCAGACGGGAGTAGTCATGGACTCTTCACTTTGGCAGCGTCTGCTTGTTAACTTCCTGCTCGCGGGACCTTTGGGGGTTCCCATTGGCTTGTTGTGGGAGAGGGATGCATTTGTTTTGGGTGGTTAGAGCAGTCTTACAGCCAGCTATTGTTTAGTCCTTCATAAAGAATATCGTGGCGATCTTGTGATTCTCTGAAGCCACGGTATACTATAGTGCAGCCTCTCACATTGCCGCAAGACTCAGAGGTAATCATAATCCAAATAATCACGGAATCACCAACAACCCCTAATGGTCGCTCCTCGGCAGTCTGATAACAGCGGACTTGAGCGTTGCCTGTGCTCGCTACTAGTGGTCGGGATTGTGGAGACTATGTGCACGTGGATGATTTAGCAGATATATACCCCTCGATCTGTACTTTATCCAGCTGCGCGTGTGATGCCACCCTAAAATTCCAAATCTCATCTACAAACATCTGACCTGAACTATGACCAGCGACAGGTCCTGGTGGAAGGATGCCGTTGGGTACCAAATTTGGCCAGCTTCTTTCTACGACTCAAACAACGATGGCATGGGAGATCTACCAGGAGTCATCAGCAAGCTCGACCATCTCAAAGACTTGGGTGTAGACTTGATATGGTTATCACCCGTGTACGACTCACCGCAGGCGGATATGGTACGATACTAATATAATCTCTCGAGCAAAATTCTAGACATGTAGTCACTAATCTATGTGTTAGGGCTACGATGTTCGAGACTATGAATCTATTTGGGACAAGTTCGGGACATTGAAAGACATGGACATGCTCATAGTAGAGGCAAAGTCTCGTGGCATGAAGCTCATCATGGACTTGGTCGTGAACCATACGAGTGATGAGCATGCATGGTTTCAGGACAGCAAGAAGTCGAGAACGAACCCAAAATCTGACTGGTACATCTGGCGTGATCCCAAAACTGATGCTCAAGGCGAGAGGAGGCCGCCAAACAACTGGCGCGCGGCATTCGGGGGCAGTGTGTGGACTTATGTCGCGGAAAGAGATCAGTATTATTTACACCTCTGCCTTGAGAAACAGCCAGATCTCAACTGGACAAACCCGGAAACAAGGGCCGCAATATATAGCACAGCAGTTGATTTCTGGTTGCGGCGTGGTGTAGATGGATTCCGTATGGACAGCGTCGTCGCTTTCTGGAAAGACCCTCGTTTCCCCGACTCTGAGATCACAAAACCAAATCAAGAGTTTCAACCCATGGAAGGGAAGTTCATCATGAACGGAGCTCCCGTACATGACTGGTTGAAAGAGTTACGAGCTCGCATCGAGGAAGATCACGGGCCGGATGTCGTCCTGATCGGAGAATTACCCGGCACTGGGACTGACGAGATTGTGCGCTACATCGACCCATCTGCGAAAGAGCTGAACATGGTTCTCGACTTTGACCACTTCATGGCCGGCAACGATTGGCATGCAGATCTACATGAGCGCACACGGCCAGCGCTACCTCTGCTCAAAGATGCCATCATCAAACAGCAAGACTTTATGCAATTTGGTTGGACCAGTGCATTCACCGAGAACCACGACAATCCTCGAAGTGTCGACCGCTTCGGCCCCGGCGACGGCGAGTATCGTAACGCTGCATCCAAGATGCTGGCCATGTTCTTGTGTACTCTTTCGGGGACAATCTTTCTGTATCAGGGCCAAGAGGTCGGCATGACCAACATTGATGCATCGTGGACACGAGCAGATCTCAGAGACGCCGCTGGCCTAGACTACCTCGACGAGGTTGAACGAAAGTTTCCGCACCATGTGGCCAAGCAAGAGGCTGCGCTAGAAGGCCTGCACCGCTTTGGGAGGGATAATGGCAGGACGCCGGTACAGTGGTCGGCTGCTCCGTATGCTGGCTTTAGTGGCGTCAAGCCATGGATCAGAGTCATTGACAATTACAAGGCGATCAACGTAACCCATCAGGAGAATGACCCTGACGGTGCAATGTTTTTCTGGAGGCGCATGATCAAGATGAGACGCCACTATAGAAATCAGCTCATCCGTGGCCGATTCCAGGTACACGACAAAGAGAACCCGAAGACGTTCACCTATGTGAAGACTGGTGTCGATCCAGCCGAGATCCTTTTAGTGTGTTTGAATTTCGGGGATGAGAATGCTGATGTGTTTGTTCCTGGTGACTTGAATGATAGCAGCATGCGACTGCTGCTGTCGACTTCATCAGAGCACCCCCTGGACACCGAGCACGGCCGGCGACTTCATCCGTGGGAAGGAAGGCTGTACAGTTGCCAGAGAAAAGGAACCGATGTGTAGCTTGTAGCTCAAAGTAGGTCGAAGATGGCAGCAGGATGATTGTGCGCAAAGGACGTTGTTCTCGAGCAAAGACAGGTCCTTATCGTATCAGAGAAATGTTCTCACTGTCCAGAAAGGAAAATGTATTCTTTTACAAGGTTAAACCCAATGTTACCTACTAAATGATATTACCCAACTTAAGTCATATAATGCCATAGAGTGGAATATTTGATACCTAGTACTCGAAAGATAAAAGTAGGGTAGTAGGAGGAAGTTATATAAACTTGACTGCATGGACTACTAGCGCTACGCCTATTTTCCTAACGCAGATACACCCTATATATCCTTTATACTACGCAGTGCTTCACGCAGTTATCGTACGACTTAATGAAATAAAAGCCCGTGCTACCCCAGCTCAGCAAGTGCCGGGGGGCATAGCTTAATGGATGCAGGGGTCTTGTATGGCTTAATGAATGATTCGTACGTTAGGGTAAGGGAAATAAGCTATGGGAATAATATAAGCATATCTGTAATAGGGTTTCTAGGATGAAGGTATTTTGGGCCTTGCGGGATCTTTAGTTCTATATGAGCATTATTATGATATGCAATCTAAGATAAAGGAGTCTTCTTAAGCTATACGGGATCCTTAGTTTTGTACGAGCAGTATTTATAATAGGTGATCTAAAATAAAAGTATCCCTTTAGGCTTTGCTGTTACGACCCAACGCCTTTATAGTCGCAACAATAGGCCCACAGGGTAGGCACCTCAGAACAACAAAGAACTAACGGTTTAATCAGTAGTAAAGTTTACGCGCAGTTAAATAAGCTAAAGTAAGCCTCTTTTGATTTAAGTAACTAGCTTACTTTTAGCTAAGTGAGCTTAAATAAACTTTATGTAATATATATATTTTTTTTATATTTATTTAAAATAGCTAAATAATTGATTATAAATATAACGTTTAAATTGAATATATTTAATATTTTTATTAATTATATAATTATTTATATTATTTAAATATTTAATTTAATTTATTTATTAATATAAATTAAAATTGAAAAAAGTTTTTTAAAAAAAATTTAATTTATATTAACTTATAGCTTTATAATTTATTATATATTTATAATTTTTATTTAAATAGTAACTTTAATATTACGGTTACAACGTTAAAAGTTAATAGAAGAGGAAAGCTTACTCTTTTTTACTAACTAATAACTAACTACTTATTATCACTTATTAATAATAAGTTATCATTAATTAATAATAAATACATCAGCAAAACAATTACCCCCTAATAAAAAAAAACACTAACCTTAATATTAATAAAATAAAAAATACAAAAATAAAGTTCTAAGCAATTAAATAACAGTTAAATAAAGTTATATCTTATTAATAAACGTCTACAGCTAATAAAGTTAAATACCAATACTATTCCCCGTTAATTAATATTACACAAAAAGGCTGCTCAATTAAAAGGTATCCAATCGTTAATTAATAGCACCAGTCTAAGCTTATTTAATCTTACTAAGTAAAATAATTATTCAATTAATAAATATATTAATAAAAGGGTGCAGTTACTTATTAAAAATATTTAAAAACTCTTCCTACATCTTACGCAGCTTAACAACAGCCTTATGCATAAAGGTAATATAAATATTTAAAGCTAAAACAGAGTATTTAAATTAAAACTAAAGCTCATTAACTTTTATAGTTAAATCAATTAATCTAACTGTAAGTCAGTTCTTAACATTTTTAATATTTTAACGTTTTTATACTGCATTTACAGCCAGCTAAATAAATAAAAAGACAAAGCATAAAAAAAACGCTAAAAAAGAAAATAAAACAGCAGGCAATTAATCTATCTTATTTACAACAGTAATAACTACAGTAAGTATATTAACTAAAACTAAAGTAGCACTCTACACTATAAGTAAAGCAGTCTATACATTTTAAGCCTATAATACAGTTTAAATTACAGTAGGTAATAATATTACTAAAGGGTAAAATTAAGCCTTAATTATATTACCACTTTTTTATTTATATAATTTCTTTAATACTACAGGGTAATATTTTTAATATTCCTACTTAAGATTATCCATTTTAAGTAAACGGAATGCATTAATTAATTATCCTTAAAAAGTAAAAAATTCTTTATAAAATATATATAAGAATATATAATAAGCTTAAGTAAATACTTTACTAAGATTTTTATAAACTTTATAATTATTTAAAATACATACAGCGCTACCTTTAATAATAAATATATTCTTATTAACCATTTTAATATATTAACGTTAATTAATAGAACTTATATTTATAGCCTATTACCAGTAGGCCTTTACTATATTCTATTTAAAATTATAATATTTATAAATAATTATAATTAATATATCTTTAAATTCCAGCTTTAAAGGTAAAAGTCTTAGATTAAAGTATAAGTTAAGTACTAATATTATTATTATTTAGTAAAATAGTAAATAATATTAAATAGTAGTAATACTAAAAAAAAGAATAAAAAAGAAAATAATTTAAAAATAACAATTAAAGAAGAAAATAAACAAATATAGTAAGTAAAAAATTTTTTTTTTCTATTTACTATAGCAATTAATGTTTATTATTATCAGCTGGTAAAATAAATACTAACTGTTAAGCTTTATTTTATTAATTAATTATACTACATATACAGCCGCTAAATACCCTACCAGTAGAATAATTACTAAATATTAAAATCTTAAATTAAATTTACTATATTAACAGTTAATAGATCCTTATTATACTATTTATCATATTTAGCATCCTAACCAGCCTATTTTACTAAATATTAATATCTTC